CGAGCCTCAGCTTTCTCATCTGTAAAATGGGCTCCCACCAGGATTAAATAAGGGAATGGGAAGAAGAGTCTCTAGCACAGCACCTGCCTGGCATGGACATGCCAGGCATATGACTTCAGGAAATGGCAAGACAGCTTCGGGGAGGCCCATGAGGTTGTGTCAAGAAGTCATTGACACCTATAGGCCCAGAGAGTCCCGGGAGCAGCTCTGGGGTGCAGTGAGGGGGCGTTGGTGAGGAGTCAGGAGGCCTAGCTTCCTTCTCATCCTGATATTGCCACCCGTTCACTGTGTGACCCCAAGTTCACAGCTGTCCCCTCTGGGCTATGCTTAATACTCACCCATAATTAAGCTTTGAATAGTGATCACCCAACAGGTGCACACGACCTCCCAGAATGTACTGACCTCCAGCCTCTAGGACTGATCATGGACCATGCTAGAACAGGGCACTTAAAAAGCAAACCCATCAAGTCTCTCAGTTTATAGGTGAGAAAAAGAAGCTCAGAGAAGGGTATGAATGATCCAAGGTCACATATCAGGTGTGGAGTCAGGACCAGAATTCCAGGCCAGAACAGTTCTGATACCCACTGTTAATACCCATCTGTCAAATGGGCACGTTAAAGCCTGTGTTGGAAACTGTGAAATGTGGTTTCCACATTTGGTATTCTCAGCTTTGTCTCAAGTTTGGAACATAATCCTGGGGTTTGATCTGGGGCAGGTTACTTCCTGTCTGAACCTCAGTTTCTCCATTTGCCAAATGAGGCCATCGGAGGAGATAGCTCTATGACCCCTCCCCGTGAGACCTAGTAGGGAGGGTTAGTGACATCTTTGCCCTTCTCTCCATCTGAGAAAAGCCGTGGAAGGGCCCAGGGACCTAAGGGCAGAAGAGTCTGGGCCTGCCCAAGGTGGTCTTGGTGTTGATTCCCTGCCCATGCGCTGGAAACCAGCTGACGGTGATGGTTTAGGAAGACACACAGTGTCTTGTGATGGAGGGGCTGCCTAGCTACAGAGCCCCAGCAGCCCAGAGCCCTAGGCCATAGGGCCAAGGTTACCTCAGAGACAGTCGCAAATAGGGCCACACAATTCCACACAAATGTGGCTACGAGGGGGCACAGAGCTATGTTAGGGGCCATGCCTATGCCTAGAGCTGCATTCACTAAACACACAGCTGCTTCCAAGTACACACCAGACTAGGGAGGTCAGACAGGAACAGGTGTCCAACCAGCCTGACCAGATATGGCCGCATGGCTGCACCTGCTAACACCTTCACACAGGGACACCCAACCATACTTGGCCACAGCTAAGCCCGGGGGAGTGGTCACCTAGCAGGGCACACCAAGGCGTATGGTGGCTCCACAGTCACACTAGAATACCAGTTACATCCAGACACAGATTCCTTGGGGAGAACCCGCACCTCCTCTCTGACCCAGCTCTTGTTCACAGCCCCCACCTGTGCAGACCCTTGACTCCACACTTCGGGGCTCTGCAGAGTCTTACCGCTGCCCCCGGACTGCAGGTTCTGGGCAGCACGTGTGAGCACCTGCTTCTGTCCACGCCCGGACTCACACACTGCTGCTCCGCTCGTATCTGCGAGGTCCTTCTGTTCTCACGTCTCCCTCAGGTGTCATTTCAGAGCCTGCAGGGCATCCAGGATTTTAGAGAACAGCCAGGCCATAGCTCCTGCTCTCTCCCCATCTTGACATCCCTGACATGAATCTCCTCTCTGGCCAGACTTTCTTTAACTCCTCTTTCTAGAAGAAGCTCAAGGCTCCCCCGGAAGCCTTTTATGGCCGGGCCTGGCAGCCCTGCCCCCTGGGTACCGATGTGGTCAAGCCTTGACCCGGGAGCCCATGTTCATGATCTTGACTCCTGTGCTAACACACAGAGTGACCCTGGGCCTCTCTCTTCTTCTCTAGCGGCCTTGGTTTCTCCTTCTGCCCCACGAGGGGATGGGGTGAGGTAGGATGGGGAGGATAGTACTGAAGAGAGCTCGGGAGGCCCCTCCAGTCTGTGATTTCTCCACCTCTGCTTTCCCCACGGCAGGGCTGGCGACTGAAGCATACCGAACCAGGCCCCAGTCCCCTGACACCTTCTCTAGCTCTCCCGCCCTCCCCACTCTGGGCTGCCATCCCCAAGCCCCCAGCCGGGGCAGAGCGGAGCAGTGGAAAGAGCAGGGACATCTGAAGGAGAGGGAGCTGTGGGCAAGCATTGTGCTTCTCAAGGGCAGAGACTGCGGTTCGGATCTGCGGCTTTTTCTCCAGGGTCTGCCATGCAGGGGCCACTTCACAAGCATTTGCCAAATCCAATCTGATCCACCCCTTCCGGGTCAGGTAGCCCTGGGCTGGCAACTCCATGTCTCTGAGCTTCTCTAGCATCCCCTGTGAGGCGGGGCTAACCACTCGCTCCTGGTCACAGGTCGTCATGAGGACAGACTGGCAGGGCCCCTGACCCGGGGTGGACCCTGCCGGTGGGCATCCCCACCCCCTTCCCCTGCCAGCCTCCACTCTCGCTGAAAAGTGGGACTGTCCAGCTTGGGGAGGAAGAGCCCCGGCCGCAGGAGCAGAGCAGGGGCTGCACAATCTAGCATCCTGACAAAGAACTTGGGCTGAGGGGAGCAGCTTTGCTTCTTATTCTTGCCACACTGAGGGCACTACAAAGCCCTGACAGTAAAACAAGGAGAGAAACACACTCAGTGGCTCACCCACAGATACAGGGAATCCTAGCCCCAGAGGCCATTAGTTGTAAGGTGTTCCCCAGGGGAAGGAATGCCCTCCACACGAGCCCTGGCAGCCTTTGCCAGGGACGAGTTGCTCACTGGCTCCCTGGGTGGTCTATACTGTGGCCCGGCATGAGTCCCTCCACCGGTCCCAGCCCTGCCCTCCAAGACTGCATGAGCGCGTCTGCTCCCGTGGACCAACCCCGTGCCCCACCCCCACGCTTCACCTTCTAGACCTTCTTTACAGGCCAGACAGCAATTCAGCTGTTGCTTCTACAACATGGATCCGAATCTTCTCACCTGTTCAGACCTGTCCCTGTGTATCTAGGCACATGCTCACACAAGCACACACACACATGCACTCATGGCGGCCCCCCCCCCCCCTCCAGGATCCAGTCCATCCCAGAGGGCACATCAACCCTCTCCTACACAGAAGCTGTTTTGCCCTCTCCCACTGCTGCTGGAGCTGCCCCGGGAGATGAGGAGCAGGGAAAGGTGGAGGGACCTGAGGAGCAGGGAAAGGTGGAGGGACCTGAGAGGACTTGTCTCCCACTGGGAGCCCTTCCTCCTCCCCCACCCCCCTGCCTTCTGCCACTTTCCTATGTCAGGGCCACGCTGATGACACCAGAGAATCCATCAAATGCCACCCCCGTGTCAGGTCATGTCACAACATAATTAAAGCATTAGATCTTCGTGATGAAGCCGTTGCCATCAATTCTGAGAGTGACTGATCCAATCTACAGAAAGGGGAAATTTCTCTCCGCCCGCCACAACTGCTGCCACTGCCTTCCCCTCCCCGAGGAGGGAGACAACATCGCTTGTGCTATTTAGGCCTCTGGACCTCAAGCTGAGCCCAAGGGAGAAGGGCCTGGCCTTGGGGTGTGGGCCCCCCCACTGGCTCTGCGTTAGCTGGGGACCCCTCTGGGCTCAGTCACTGAGTCTGTGACCCTGGGAAAGACACTCCCCACCTCTGGATTTCAGGGCTCCCTTCTAGAAGTGTGATACAGGGCTGAGAGGGAAGAGAGGAGGGTGACTTGATCTCTAAGGACGCTAGAGGTGGAAGAAGCAGGAGCCCTGGGGTCAGAAGACTTGGGTTCAAATTTTGACTAGCTGTGTAGCTGTGGTCAAGCAGGTTCTCTTTTCTCCTGCCCCCCCTCCCCAGAGGAAGGGGAAATTACTCCTGCCTCCCAGGATCACCTGGAGATTAAAGGAGATGGGGGAACATAAGGGCTTTGCACCAAAGAAACGTTCCAACCTCTCAGGGGCCCCGTCCTGATGTTAGGTCCAAGGTGTTGGCCAAGAGACTGGACTGAGGCCTGGTCTTCTTTGCTCAAGACCGCTAAGCACGGCCACTAAGAATGTAGGGACTGAGGTGATAGAGGGCCAACGGAAGAGAGGGGGCAGGAGCACAAGTGTCCTCTCTGTTGCTTCTCAGATGATGTCAGCACCCGGAAATTCGAATAGGAGGAACAGGAGCCAGGCTCTTGGCAACAAAGAGTTGGGGATGACACACGGGACAGGGCGAGGTGCGGCGGGGTCAGAGGGGTAGGTAAGAACCCAGCAGGGGGCCAGCACCTCGGGTGGGGACAGGGGCAGAAGCAGGGAGAGCAGTCTGAGGCCACTGCAGTGGTCCAGGCATGAGATGAGGGCAGTTCATAGCGAGTCTGAGCAGGAGTTGAGAGATGACCCCAAGGTCTTGGGGCTGAGTGACTGGAAGAGTTACCATTAGTGGAGTTACTATGTATCAAGTTCGAGTAGACTATGGGGACAGAAGGTTGGAGGTGGTAATCAGGAGTTTGTTTAAAGTTTGAGGCTAACAGACATCCGGGTGGAAATGTTGAGCAAGCAGGTAGGGTTCAGGGCAGAGATGTGGGCTGAAGAAACACACCTGAGGCTTGACAGTGGTCAGCACATAAAGGGGTTTTAAAGCCTTGAGCTTGGAGCAGGTCCCTTGGGAAGTGAGGGCAGGCAAAAAGAAGAGGTAAGAGGACAGCACTTGGAGCAATGCATCACTAAGAAGCTGGGGAGATGGTGGGGGTAACTAACGACGGACCCCGAGCAGAGGAAGAGACGAGTCAAGCCAGGGTGGTGCCCTAGAAGGTAAATAAAGAAAGTGTTTCAGAAGGAGGATGTGATCACTGGTTTTAGAGTAATGTCAGCTCTGGGGAGATGAAGACTGGGGACAGCTGGCCACTGGCGACGGGGAGGAAATGTTGGTTGGATGAATAAACAGGGAATACGCTGAAATTCCATCTAGAACTGTGATGTCAGATGGGTTCTGGGATACGATCTGGCCTCATGAACAGCAAATGAGATGATGCCAGTTAAGCGAAGCCAACACAACTTGGGCTCAAGCAGCCAAAGGCCAAATTGGAGGCTCTAGATCCTTCCAGCTTCAGGTCGGGCAGGACTGTTCCTGGGAACTAGAAGGAGACCCACTGCAGGTAAATCAGGTGGTAGCAGCTATGTGTGGCCTGGAGGTCAAGTCCAGACCGCAGATTCAGAAGCAGAGGTAAAACTGAAATGTCACCGGGAATGTGTTACGTGCCAGGCACTATGCAAAGCCAGAGGGGAGAACGCAAAGACATAAGACGTGGTCTTTCCTGGGGAGGTTCCCCATCTAATAGGAGAGAGACACAAGTGGATGGATGGCCCAGATGCAGGATAGTTAGAGGTAAGTGCTGACATTTTGTGGCTCCTTTAAATACCCAGACAAGCTCCTGGGATACAGATTTTACCAGGCTCCATAAAAAGATTACCTTACTGGGGCGCCTGGGTGGCTCAGTCGGTTAAGCATCCGACTTCGGCTCAGGTCACAATCTCGCGGTCTGTGAGTTCGAGCCCCGCGTTGGGCTCTGGGCTGATGGCTCGGAGCCTGGAGCCTGCTTCCGATTCTGTGTCTCCCTCTCTCTCTGCCCCTCCCCCGTTCATGCTCTGTCTCTCTCTGTCCCAAAAAGAAATAAACGTTAAAAAAAAAAAAAGATTACCTTACTTCTGAAGGGCTCCTCCAGGCCATCTTGGTTTGGGTTTCTGGTACTGACCACGGCTCTTAATTCTCTTGTCTGGGGTATCACCCTATGGATATGACCCTTGGGTTCTGCTTAAGCTCTGACTCTTCAAGGCAGCCATCCATACAGGCTCCTAAAGGTGGGATGCAGACCCCAATAGAGCCCCTGGCCAGAATCCCAGACACCTCTAGCTTAATCTGACCCTGTTCCCATGCCAGTCCTGCTGCGGTCCTTATTCCTTTGTATGAGGTGTCTCTGGGCCATATAACAAACTCCTCTACTTGAAGCAACTTGACCCACCAGACCCCAGTGTAGCCAGCCCCTTCAGGCTCAGTCCCCATGCCCCAATCACACCATGGTTGAACCTGAGAGTTGTTTTCCCAACTATGCCCTTGGCTCTATCTACACTTTGAGGGACTAGTTCCCCTTCCTGGCTCCTGGGCCTGTCCAGTCAGCTCCTGCCCCACCCCCTTGAGCAGCAGGAGCCCTCTGCCTAACCCCGCCCCTTGAGCAGAAGACAGATGGTACACGTCCTCGCAGAGAAAAACAATGACTGTGGGAGGAAGAATGGGGAAAGGATTGATTCTAGCCCAGGGCTCCTGAGGCTGCATGGTGCCTGCAGGGTGGGTGGGTGGGTTTTGGACAAATGCAGGTATCGCTGGGAGCAAGGGGGGAAGGCATCCCAGGGTTGGGGGGGGTGGCGGTGTGCTTGGGGAGAAAGGTATAGCGAGATGCCCCCCCCCCCCCCGCCAGGGTGGAGATGGGTGCCTGGGGAGAGGACGCTGGGCGGGTGGTGAGTTGCGGCCACCGGCTGCAGCCCAGTGGAAGTCCTCATATGCTTTCAAAGCCTGGCCCTGGGACTGATCAGCCGCCTAGTAAAGATCCTTCTGGCTGCCCAGTTCTGGTGACCTAGTGCCTTTCAATCAGGAGATGCCCAGGTCAGTCTCCAAAGGCCCTGCCAGGTCTCTCGGAATAAGGTAGAAGTTGAGTCCCTGAATAACTGCTGGCTTAACTACACCTGTCTCTGCCCCTGGGCCTAGAGTTCGGGTCTCAGACATTTAGGGACAGAGATGGAAAGAAAGCATCAACTGAAAGATGATCTTGGAAGAAATCATGTAAAGGGAGAAGTGGAAGGTCAAGACTGCTGGCTTCTCCTATCTGAAGAGTGGGGTGAAGAAGGGAGTCGTTTAATGGGGCAGGGGTGTGAAAAGAGGACACAAAGGACGTCGGGGCACAGGATGGGGATTGGAATGGACCTGCAGGGCATCGTGTTCACCCCTGTGCCATGCAGGAGTCCCTCTTCATCACCCTTACCAAGTGGCTGTCCAGCCTCCGTGGGCATACCTCCACTGACGGAGCGCTCACTCCTTCCTGAAGCAGCCATTTCTGCTTGCACAGCTCTGAGTTTTCCTACGTCTAAATCTGCAGGTCCACTCAAGGTCAAGTTCTATGCTGTGAGACTCCACAGAAACAGTTCCATCTCCCCCGTGGTGAGACAGCGTTGCAGGGACTGGAAAATGGAGACCCTGATACCTGGCCCCTGAGGATTTTCTCGGGAGGCCTCCGAACCATCTCAGAGGCCATCCCTTGAGCTCGTAGTTGAGTCTTGCCTCTTGGGTCACTCTCTGAAGGGGCGTGCAGAGGGGTGCCTAGGGCTGCGTGTGTGCCCGGATGTATCTGTGAATTATACTGCATGCTCACGGCTGGGGGTTGGCAGGGATGCAGACCAGCCCTGTATGTGTAAGGAAAAGCATCACTTCCTTCCCTATGTGCCTGGGCTGTGGTCACGTGTCAGCGTGACCATGTGTGCATGTCTCTTACAGTGACTGCATGTGGGTAGCAGTGCTCCTGATGGCCTGCCAATGAAGGGCTGTGTGTGTGCGACTAACCGTGATCACAAGTGTGAATCTGCACACGAACGGCTTGCTAGGGCTGTACATGACCTGCCGGGTATGTGTGCGTCCTGTGACTCTGGTCAGGTTGTCTCCGAGTGTCTGGTTGTGACCGAAGAGTGTGTGTGTGACAGGTTGCCATCTCACGCATATATGAGACCGTGTTGGTGACAGATCATAATGATGATGTGCGTGTCAGAGACTGGCTGAGGCGGTGAGTGTGTGCGAGGTGGTCGCATGTGTGCCTATGCACGAGGATGTGGTTGTGTTTGCATGCGTGGATGCATCAGTGTGGCTGCGTGTCAGCGCTGATGGCTGTGTGTGTGTGGCTGCGGCTCTGTGTGTGACGCAACGTGTGTTTGTGACTCTGTTCTGAGGGGTGTGTGTGTGTGTGTGTGTGTGTGCGAGCATGTGTGTGAATGGCTGTGGCTGAGTGCAAATGAAGGTGCCCGTGTGTGGAGGTGGAGGTGGAAAGGGTGAGGACAAGGCAGGATGAAAAGGGGACTTGCTCGGAAAGGTCTCCCCAACCCCATTTTAATCAGAAACGGAGCAGCTGTTAGTCTGAATAGACACTGCACAACGGCAGACGTCTTAATCTCTTCTGCATTGTGATTCACTCGGCGAAGCCCTATTACTCAGCTTTTGATAGGAGCTTACTTGTCTCAAGTGTTTTCATTATTGCCCTAATACTATCTATTAACATACTGGAGGGAGCTCGCTGCTGTCTGGAGCTGGCATCACTGGGCTTTTAAAGATTATGGGCCTTGCAAATACATAACATTTTACTGCCTTGCAGACGTAATTCATTGGGAAAAAAAAAGGCTCACGTAAATAGATAGGTAAATAGATAACTGAGTAGGGGAGAGAGGGCGCTGGAGGGAGAAGGAGAATCTATGATCCAAACGCGGCTGTCATCTCCAGCTCAAATGATTGCCTTTTGGGAGGAAGGGCCAGACAGACATCTGTCTCATTTGGGGCACCTATAGCCCCAAATCCTTCATCTCTGGGTATCCTGGGGTGAGGGGTACTGCCTGGTCTCGTGGCTGACAGTAAGACCCTGGGCTTCTCTGAGGGACGCTCCGAGGTGCAGACGGGGGTGAGATGCAGGGAAGCACGTGGTGGAAAGACCGCGGGATTCTGTGGCAGGAGGCACGGGTTTGAACCCCAGTTGTGCTGCTGATGTGTGGGGTGACCTTTGTTCCCATCTCTGTGCCTTGTTTTCGAAACTGCAAACCGAGGAGTCTGAACTAGATTCACTAAAAGGCCAGTTTCAAAGGCCATCCGAGACCCAGATGGCGCTTGAACAAAAATGGTCAGCGGTAACTCATCAACCTGGATTCCCGAGGAAGAAGAGTGCCAGCAAGGCCACCATCTCAGAACTGGCAAACTGCAAGACTGTCCTCTGGTCTAACCACCACCCCTCTTCCGCGTTCCTGCCACACGGGTGCACCCCTACCTACCGGGACAGGAATCCCACTACGTTCTTTTCCTCTTACTAAAAGGATAAACTTTAAACTCTTTTGCTTTTTCCGTGTGCTTCGAGATGATGTTTGAAATACATACAAACCCTTCCCTTCATCAAATTTCGCTGAAATAATAGAAAGGCACATAAAAAGAATATATTCATATCTGCCCAAGAAAACGAGAAAACATGGCTCCAGGAGAACAGAGAAATTTGAAGACTTTCTAGAAGACAAAAAGCAGATAGAATCCAATTTATGGAGAAAACCAGAGTGGTTAAATCAGCATGGAGAAATTGACTAAGGAGATGTAAGCTGTTCTCTCCAACAGAATCTTGGGGAGACTCCCAGTTTAGGGAGCAGGGAGCAGGCCATGGTGTAGACATCAGGCAAAGAACTATTGAATAAACAGGCAGCAGTCTCTTTCTCTCCCGATGTGTACAGAATGACTGGCTGTGGCTTTTGCTCCTGACACAGAAGCCTGGTGGACTGCCTTCTAAACAACATGAAAGATCTGCCTTAGGAGGTATGGTAAACTGACACATTGGTGTCAATGAACAACCCCTGTCAGTAGTCAGATCCTTGTGGGATTCCCTACACACTGGGTTTGGACTTGACATTGTAACCTGTTTTGGCCAATGGGACATTAGCAAGTCTGCTGAAATTACTGGGGCTTGTCTGCTTAGAACACTCCCCCTTAGAATGGGACCACCATTCTGTAAGAAAGTCCACCCTATTCTGGAGAAAGAGGTTCTGGAGGATAAAAATCCATGTGGAGAAAGAGCCCACCTGCTGGAGAACCTAGATGTTTTTCTTGTTTTTTTCTTTTTTTTTTCTTTTTAATGTTTACTTATTTTTGAGAGACAGAGAGAGTGAGAGAGAGAGGGAGAGCGCGTGAGCAGGGGACGGGCAGAGAATGAGGAAGACACAGAATCCTAAACAGGCTCCAGGCTCTGAGCTGTCAGCACAGAGCCTGATGCGGGGCTCAAACTCACAAACCGTGAGATCATGACCTGAGCCAAAGTTGGACACTCAACCTACTGAGCCACCCAGGTGCCCTGAGAAACTAGATGTTTTAGCAGATAGCCAGCACCAAGGCCCCAGACATGAAAGTGAAGCCTTCTGGGCCTTCCAATACAGCCCAGCTGCCCGCCGAGTGCAGCAACATGAGTGGATCTAATCAATACCACATGGAGTAAAAGAATGAGCCCAGGAAACCCACAGAATCACAAGAAATAACAAATTGTTGTTTTAAGACATGAAGCTGTGGGGTGTTTTGTTATGTGGCACTAGATAACTGATACAAGAGAAATGACTATGTAGGGGTTGAGTGAAGCAGAACAGAACTAAATCTTTGCAATGCTCATGGGAAGGGGAAAAGAAAGAAAAGACAATGAGGTAGGCCTGCTCAGCAAAGAAACATATTAAAATACTTCATACACAGAATAAAGTCTACCTTACTTCAGCAGTCATGAGAGTCCCCAGCCTGCCTATGTATGGTCCCCTCATTCTTTCTAACAGGACCCCCCTACAGTGAGCAACCCCTCCTGCTGTCTCACTGACACAGAGCTGCCGACAGCCTCCTTTCCAGGGGAAGGTCCATTTTGTTTTTGTTTTTTTGTTTTTTGTTTGTTTGTTTGTTTGTTTTCAATGTTTATTTATTTTTGGGACAGAGAGAGACAGAGCATGAACGGGGGAGGGGCAGAGAGAGAGGGAGACACAGAATCGGAAACAGGCTCCAGGCTCTGAGCCATCAGCCCAGAGCCTGACGCGGGGCTCGAACTCACGGACCGCGAGATCGTGACCTGGCTGAAGTCGGACGCTTAACCGACTGCGCCACCCAGGCACCCCGGGAAGGTCCATTTTGAATGCACACCTACACAGCCATGAAAGAAACTCATACCAGTCTCCTGAATATATTAGGCTACCTAATTTTAAATGTATAAATCTGAAATGATCATCATGGATCACCTTTGAGGCAAACCAAAAAGTATGAGAAAGAGTAAGATAAAAAGCCAAAACAACTCATCCTGGAGGAAAGTGAGAGAATGTAGGAACAGAGAGGAACTTTAAAAGAATTCTAGATTGTATCCTCAGAGAGATCCAAAAGAAATTTGCTTTCATAAAATAAGAGTAGATTTCTATTGAAAAGAAGCAATCAAATAAAAAGAAATTATCCTTGAAAATTAAAAACATGAAGATAAAATCAAAGAAATCCCCTAGAAAATAGAGTGGAAACACAAAGAGATACAAAATATGAGAAAATACATGACCTAATACTTATAAACACTCTAGACTAGATAAAAGAGGCAATAGAGGTAATGAAATAATTAAAGATATAATTTCAAAATATTTTCCAGAGCTACAGAAGGACCTGAGTCCTCAAACTATAAAAAGACCCACCCAGTAGTAAGCAGAAAACACAAAAAAATACACATCCTTGTGGCATTTCTAAATTACAAAATGAAAACAGAATTCAGAATGTTTCTGGATTGCTTCAAACCTAAAATTCTACATCAGCCAAACTATCAAGTATGAAAACAAATCCAAGATGTTTTCTGATAAGGAAGAACAAAGAAAATTTACTATTATTCATTCACCCCTTCTGAAGAAATAATTATGTACTATAGGAAAACCAAAATAGAATTCAGAAAGGAGAATGTCATGGATTTTTAAATATTTTATTTTTATTTTTTTATTTTTTATTTTTTGCATTTTAAAATGTTTTAAAGAAAAGAAACCAGTAAATGTTTAAGAGTCTAAATAATGAATGAAAATGCATCTATAAAACTTTAATTTTAAAGAAATGATTTATTTTAAAAATATGGAAATAAAATAATAACACTTGGAACCAAAGTTTCAACAAAATATGAAACATAGGAAGAGGTCTAAGATACTTGAAAGAAAAAGTGCTTGAATAAGTTTATTAAAAATTTAGAGGGGTGCTGGATGGCTTAGTCAGTTGGACATTCGACTCTTGGTTTCCGCTGGGGTGATGATCTCACAGTTCTGGGTTCAGGCCCTATGTTGGACTCTGTGCTGACAGTGCAGAGTCTGCTGGGGGTTCTCTCTTTCTCTCTCTCTCTCTCTCTCTCTCTCTCTCAAAACAAATGAACTTAAAAAAATAGAGCATTAGAAAAATAGAAATAATACACATAACTTGCCAAAAAAATACAGAAAAATAAAAATAAAGAAAACTTGATCAATTGAACAGAAGGTGGGGAGACATCCAAACATACCAAAATCACAATAATTGTGAATGGGTTAAACTCTCTTATTAAATGCCAGAGACTTTCAGAATGGGTGAAAGAAATCTCAACAACATATACACATGTCCACACATAATACAATTATTTTGAAGAGTTGCATTTAAAACAATGTACTACAAAAAGGAAGAAAAATAGAAGAATGGAAAAATGAATATATGCTAACAAAACAAAACAAAACGAAAGCATGAAAACATTAGTATAAGATTTAATAGAATTCAAAATAAAGCACCTATAAAAGGTACAATGTACCAAGGAATTATGACAATGAAATACATTTTATACTTAAACAACAAAGTATCAAAATATAAAAGAAATAGAACTACAAAGAGAAATTGTCAAACTTGTAATGACACTTCATTCATCCGTGCCTTTCAAAAGCTGATAGATCTGGTAAAGAAAAAGAAGTCAGTTTGATTTGAGATTTATATAAGAAGATTTACTGAACTGAGAATATACATTTACATGTTGTTTTTTAATATCTACGATACAAACAAAAATTGACCATCCATTAAAATTGGCTTGAAGAAAAATCTTAATTCCAAAAAGTAGACATCATATAGGCTACATTTTCTGACTACAATGTTAAAAAAAAAAAAAAAAAAAAAAAAACAACTAGAATCAAAGATAAAAGAGTAGCAAAACAATGTAACAAATACTCAGCAACCTGAAATTTTAAACATTTAAAAAAATTTTTAACGTTTATTTTTTGAGAAAGAGAGAGAGAGAGAGACAGAGTGTGAGCAGGGGAGGGGCAGAGAGAGAGAACGAGACACAGAATCCGAGGCAGACTCCAGGCTCTGAGCTGTCAGCACAGAGCCCACACAGAGCCCAACACGGGGCTCAAACTCACAAGCTGTGAGATCATGACCTGAGTTGAAGTCAGACACTTAACTGACTGAGCCACCCATGTGCCCCTCAGCAACCTGAAATTTTAAAACGCTATTCTATATAACTCTCAGGTTAAAGACAAACTCAAAACTGAAATGATTATTTATAAATTAATGACACTGAGAGCACCATATAATGAATTCAATTGTTAAGGCCAATGCAGTATTTACAGAAAAATGTATAGCCTGAACACATTTATTAGAAAACAGGAAAGAGAGTTGAATGCAAGCAATTGGGAATAGGAATTTTAGAGGGGGGGGACCTCTATAAAAATAAGGAATTAATAGAGATAAAAGCAGAAATTAATGAAATGAGAAACAAATGTTGACTTGGTAAATGAAACCAAATGCTGCTTCTTTAATTTATTTATTCCCCTGGATGGCTCAAGAAGAGGTAAAAAATGCTAACATACACAGAAGAAATTATATCATCAAAGTATGCTTCTAAAAACAGCATCAGGCCCAAAATGGTTTTAACAGTGAGTTATAGCAAACCTTCAAGGAACCAATAACTTCTGCTATTTAAATAGCCACAAAGCAGAGAACAAAGACGGAAAACTTCCCCAATCCAGTCTGTTGGGCTAGCACTGGAGTGGGCATCTGTGGTTTTTCTCCTCAGTGTTCATTCATCCTTCTAGTAACCACACCCTGATTACCCTCAGCAGGAGCCGTCTCCCTCTCCACCCTGGTCTGTGTCTCTACTTCCAGAGGAGGTGACGCCATCCCTCGTTCCAGGGCTGGGCACATAAACCTCGTTCAGCTTTCCTTTCTCCCGACCACTGTGAATGGTTCAGGAATGGGCATGTGATCCTGTTAAGAACAAATTTTTCAGTGGCTTCTGGGCTATAGATCCTGGAGCCACCATTTGCCTGCTGTGTGGAGCCCTAAACGAAAGCAGACACAAGGGAAAAGCAGAACCAGGACAGAGAGAGAGAACGAGCATTGATTACAGTATCTGAGCCCTGAATGGAGCCCTGCCTCCAGGTATGCCCTACCCCCACCCCGTACCCTCCAGCTCTCAGAACCACTGTTTAAAACAAGCTCAAGTTGAATTTTCTGTCATTTTCAATGGAAGCCACTAACCCCAACAGACCAAAACTGAACTGAGACAACACACACAAGGAAGTGGCCCAATCAAAATTACACTGATGCAAAACTCATAAATAAAATGGTAGCAAATTTAATCTAGCTATGTATTATAAGACCAATAAATCACGAGCAAATAGGTTTCATCCCAAGAATCAAACATAGATTCTAACATTACA